TACCTTTTAGTTACATTATGTTTATGTTACATTACTTAAACTGAATTTTCGTCGAGTCTTATTTGCTCCTCTTATCGTCGTCAACTCTTCTCTCAAACTCCTCGATCCGCTCGTCGCTTCTCCCAAATCCGAGTTTATTTTAAAAACTGTAGCGTATTAATATATTTAACCATTTCAGTTAGTGTCTTACACCTTGTACAGGACTTCAATAAAGGTTAACATTAAGGCTACTTCCCTGAGATTACAACAACTTCAGCTGGTTGAGCATGAAATGCATCCGAAAAGAACGCATGACCGTTTTGATACAGAAGATGTTTCTTCTTTTTAAGTATATTAAATATTTTATAAAATACTTACATACAGTGATGGAAAAAATAATAGAAACGATTTTTCACTTTGGGTTTGAATACGCATTTTCAATAAGGAACGTGGTGATGAGTGGATATTTTTAATTTTTTTTTATCTATATACATCTATCTTACATACTAAAAAACAAAAATTTAAGTCAAATTTTATGTTTTTGACTTGGAAATAAAAATAGAAACGAAGTGACTTATCGTCATCCAAATTGACTAGCTTAGCAAAATTAACCATGAAATGTTTTCAGGTTTAATATTTTGTTGCATTACCATGATTTTTCAAAAATTCTGGCACACCTACGAGGCATAGACTCCACAGGATTGGAGCATATTGCTGGCTTAATGGAGTACCACTCCTCCTGGACTTTCTCCCACAAATGCTCCTTATTTTTTGGCCTAAAACCACTTAAACGCTTTTTAAGAATGCCCTTCAAATGCTCAATAGGGTTTAAGTCGGGTGACTAAGCTGACCAATCCATAACGCCGACTTTATTGTCCAGGATCCCCTTTTTAGCAAGCTACGATGTGTCTTTGGGATCGTTATCCTTAATAATATCCAACTTCAAAGGCATTTCATCTTCGGCATATGTCAACATAACGTCCATCATTATGTTTAAATTGTCTGTATGCTCCATGTTACATGCCCAAAAAACACAGCATTCGATCCCAAATACACCAAAAGGACGATCAAACATGGAGGTGGCAATATAATATTTGTTATTTTTTTATTATTTTTGGATCTCAATTATGACTGATATTGATTGATGTGTAAATTATCAGATACCTGATATACCTGTAAACCAATTTTTAATCAGCGCCGACTGTCTTCTTATAACCTGCATTTGTTGATAAGATTTTAAACCGATAAGTATCGACAACAAGATAATATTCTGGGGCAAACCCAATAACTCTTATCTTCACTCTTATATTATAGACTTCATCCCGGCCGCGGTGGCTTCTTCGGAGTATTTGGTTCCCTCGGCCTCAGCAATTATACAGATAGAGGAGGGGCCGTGCTTTAAGCGATAATTGATTCTGACCATGAATATATATTCTTAACACATCTTGACGCACTATAAACGTAATTATAAGATTGTGACAAAAACCGAAATATTTAAATGAGAAACTCTCCTCCTCGGGAATCGGGTGCAGACTCTTGTAGGTAGGGTAGGGCCGTTCTGAAATATATTTCCTATGTTACCCATCCACAGTTCCCCATCCGATCCCCATGATTCTGGAGATCCAAAGCTTCTGTATCAGGGCGATATACCCATTACCTTCTGCCAGAATTGCAGCAGTGGAGGTTTTTTCTGTGTCCGAGACTGAAAAGGAGTTCCCGTGGTGTGATTTTCTGAAAAAAAGGTTTCCTCGTTTCCATTCCATTCGTTTTTAATTTCGTTTAATTGCCATTTGGTAAGATAGCGAAATGGATTACTTCGAGGGGAAAAAGATGTTGTGGTTTTGGTGTTTTGTAAAATATTGAGTTATTTTAAAACGTTTAATACTAATGCGGGCAGACACTTAATTTAATTTTAAAACACTTAAAACTATTGTGGCAATACAAATCTGGATGCACTCCCTTCGATTTGAATCTGGTTTTTGGTCGGATGTAAGCTAAAATTCTCTTCTTGTTAATTATTATATTATATAAAAAATTCGAGTTACCCTTTTACATAAATTGTGAACTGTATTTTTATACCCGTTCGTAGAGTATATATATTCCTGATCAGGATCAACACTGAGGTCGATTTAGCCAAGTCCGCCTGACTGTCTGTCTCAGGAACTATAAGAGCTGGAAAGTTGGTCTTAATCTTATATATTTTTTAGATGCCAACGCATAATCCGAGTTGTCGGTAACTATTAGTGATAGATTCGAATATGGCCACGCCTACTTTAGCTCGGTGGGCTATAACTATAATCTCAAAAACTATAAGCGCTACACTGCAGCTACCCAAGGAAAAAAAAAGGATTTTAATCCTATATAGGAATATGTGTTCCATCCATTGTTGAAAAAGCTTCCTACATCAGTTATGTCTTTATTAAAGGATATAATATTCCAATGATATGTTTTAGGATAAATATTAAACTAAGAAAAAAAAATTGTAAACTAAATAAATCCTGCAAAAAGATAAATATCTGTGTGGGTCCGTTAACGTTGACTTTTGCCCGAGATCTTAAAAAGGCCGAAAGGGCATACTCCCCCGTAATAGACCATTAATAGACCTTGTCATTCTGGAGCATATCACTTCATGCTACATTTTGAAAATGGCAAGACGAATCGTTCTTAAATAAAGGATGTCATTCTTTAAATGATTTCAGGATTTTATCGCCGAGTGTACATTGGACTCGTTTTATCAATTAATCATGCTCAAATAATTTACAAATCCGCTTAATTCAATTAGAGTTTTGTCTCTGACTAGTTTATAACAGCACTCGATATTCGACAGAAAGTATCGCAAATTTCAATTGTGTATTAATTGATTTTAAGCTTCAAGTACAGTGTTAACCCGAATGACTGATGCACACAAAGAAATAAGCAGCTAATGTAAATGTAATCTGAACTTAAAAAAGAAAAACTAAAAAATAGTGAAGTTTAAGTGGCGTATTTATTTTATAGTTCCTCCTAAACCAGTTAATCAGCAAATTTGAAAATTTCCAGTTGGGACTTAACTTGTAAGTTTTGCCTTGATTTTTAACGTGTAAATGCGTTTTCGGTTCAAATTAAATTAAGTTCGCAAACTGCCACACACTGGTATTTTCAAGTACACAAAAGCATACACACAGCATAAGTACTTTGTAGAATCTAAAATTGCAATGCATAATTTGCAGAAGGAATTATAATAAAGAGCATGAGAACGTCTTGTAGGGGCGGTGTTTCCCCAAAACTGCCCGAGAGGGGAGTTGTTTATTGTTGGTATTCGGTTCGATAAAATGCTCTTGCAAAGGATGTTTGCATTATCGGTATCGGAATCTATCAGAATTATATTCTACATACACGATTTTATATCGTGAACTAACTGCTCGAAGAATTCGGGTAGGTAAGTTCTGTCAATACGAAGCAATACTATAGTTCAGAGTGGAAATCTAACTGCACTGCTATAAGCTCCAATCAGCTGATCGCTCCCAGCTTTCAGCTTCCGGCACACTGGGACAAGCCGTAAACTTAAGACCTTTTGTATCTGAAGAGTCTTTGCCTCTCCAAACTCTGACATCAGTTTATAATATTTATGAATGGGCGTGTTACTTCCTGTTTAGTATTTCCTAAGGAGTTTCTTCTCACTTGCAATTTACTTTTCTGTTCGTTGCTGGTTTTGCAATGACAAAAAGTTATAAGCCTATATGAACTAATAAGAAGGGTTAAGCCATTAAGGACTGGCTGATGTTGTTTACACAGATTTTATTTAGGCCTTTGATTTTAGTTGGCAAATATAGTTATAGTAAGTGTAGATCTGAATATTTGAAAACATATCTCTCTCTCTCGGTTAATTTATTAATTGGTTTCCAAGCCTCCGCAATTCTTTTCACTGTGAAAGCACCCACCTCGAACATGGGTGGCAATGACAATATTAGCCCCTCTGCACTCGGCTGAAAACTAAGCCTACTCTGTCTGCCGACAAATCAAATTAACTGTCTTTTGTTTCAGAGGAAAACATGTAAGCACAAATGCTCTATACAATCAGCTGCAGCCAAGGCATGTGAAATTACTTTGGGTTTCTGCTTTTTTTCAAATTGTCAGCAAGAATTAACTTTTTTTGTGTTACATTTTCCCTGTCATATTCTTTGAGTAATTTAAAACCTGTGCCGCGTGCATCTCCCATCCGGAGTCGGTCGAAAAAGGGAGGGAAACAGGGCGAGATGGAGATGAGGCTGAAAGGGACATCCAATACGATGGCAACGGCTTTGGTTCGTGGATTCCCATTCTGCTCAGCATTAAGTTTCACAGACTTCTGCCGAAATTAAAATTCGTTTCGAGGGTGGGAGCTTGAAGATGCGAAAAGCTCTAGGCCGTCTTGCCAAAATAGGCAACCCCTCCGAATTTTTCCAACAAAATGTACTCAATACTAACGAAACTGAGAAAAATAAAATAAAACTCTAAGTGCTCTCAAAATTCAGTAAAGTCTGAAAACAGCCATTAGTTTTACCTTAGCTACGTTTTTTAGACCACCTTTTAACGGTGGCAAAGCCAAATAGTGCTGCCCATATAAGAAGTTATTGAATCTTGCGCCCTACTCATACAGAAATAGTAAAGGTCAAATCAAAAACTCAAACCTTCTTATTCTGGAGGTCTCCAACGGCTAGAGTGGGCATTGCGCCAGAGATCTCAGCGTTCATACAGACTGATTTAATCGATTTGTCTATTGATCCTGATTAAGAATATGTATTCTTTAGTTTATTAGAATTATAGAAGAATTTAAATATTTGATAAGATCGGAAATCCTTCATTCGGTCTTACACAGTGGATATATCGAGGTAGAACGACTTAGTAGGCATGGCTGTAAGTTTCATTGTAAAAATTACAGTTCCTGTGCAACTGTAAGAACTAAGAACAGGTCTGCGGTTTCAAAAACATTTCTGCATGCCAAAAATATATCTTTGAATACATATATTTTGAATCGAATATTGTCCAAGCAGCTCAACTTAACGATGTCGATGCCAAACACTAATTTGCAAGCCAAAAACTATCGGATGGAGTCCGTGGGGAGGACGCTGAAAATGCATGCGCGAACCAATAACAAGTCGGAACAGGGAACCGCTGGTTACCCTGCGTTTAACGAAGCTGCTGGAAATATTTTCTCTCCCAGGCAGAAAGTCGAAGTCACAGGCAAGCGCCAATGCCCTCCAAGAAAGCACCCGGAAAGGAAGACGCGTGAGGAGAGAACCATTGAAAAGTTCCGGAACATAGACTTCTTTGGGCAGCGCGACTCTAAGAACATACTGACCGTCCAGAATTTGGAGTTTCCCGATGCCAATATCAAGCGTACTGAGCTGCACAAGCGCGATGAATGCGGCAAAAGCGTAATCCGAGGCAAAGGGCGGGACTTTGCCAGCTCGAGCAACTCCCACTTCAGGGACGGAGTCGAGACGGTCAAGATGCGCAAGAACGCTTGTTCCACCAGCAGTACAGCGCAGAAGTCCCTTGAAGACAATGGTCGAAACAACGAATGGATCATGGAGGAGTCTGAAGGTGAGCCTGATTCGGAGGAACTGGTTGACTCGATGCACTCGCCGTCTACTCGTCCTCCCAACTTTAAGGGCGAGGAGTGGAAACGTCCGTGCCCAGCCAGCTTCGTAGCCGGGGCTCCACGGCCCCGCATTGGAAAGTGTCCCAAAAACTATGAGCAGCTTGCTAAGCTGACGCCTGCGCGACAGAAGTTCTTCCTCACCCAGGACCCACGAAAGTCACATTGCCTGGTCAATCCCGTGGCGCTGCGCCACACCCCGCTTACCAAGGAACAGGAGTTTAGTTTGATCAGCAAGCTGGTCAAGCACGGGGACAACCTATGTGCCAGCACGGGGTCAGAGACTTCCGACTCGCATATCTGCGAGGTGATTGATCTGCAGAATCCTATGAAACTGGACTTCCATGGCATGGACTACAAGACGACGTACGAGCAAGACGAGATCGAGCAGCAGAACGCTTTGACCTTTTGGCGCGTCCAGCGCTACATGGCGCGGCGGAAGGCGAAGAAGAACACCAAAGTTAACGTCGAGGCCGAGCTGAAGGCGGAGAGACTGGCAGTTCCACAACGCTTCAACACGAAAATCAAGGATACGCCGGAGGAGGAGGTGGCTCCGCCTCGATCGCCACGACTCGTGCACCTGTACCGAAGTCCAGATAAGCCGGCTAACAAGCTTAAGATCGAGGAGGAGCACAGGCGCCGGGCTGCCCGTTACAAGGACATCTACTTGCGGAATAAACAGCGCCAGGAAGAGCAGGAGAAGGAGCGGCGGAAGCAGCAGGCCGCCGTTAAAGAGATTGAGGCGCGCACTGTGGCCGAGGACGACCTGCGCGCTGACGTGGCGGTCATTGACGACGCTATTGAGCGCAGCTTCCGCAAGCACGTGGAGCTCAAGCCCATCATCCGAAAGCGCAAGGTTTTCCCCAAGACCCTCACCGAAACAGAGAGGCTGAAGGCTATTATGCATCGCGAGGACTGTGTGCGACGCGACAAGGCGCGTGTGACCCAGCAATTCTTCCTGGAGCGCACCGGCAAACTGAAGCACCTGCCGGACGCTGAGCAGCAGCTCCGTTGCGGTGAGAGCATTGAGGGGAGCGTGGGCTCCACGCCTAGTGAGCAGAGTAGCGATGACGAGGACTACCTCCAGGTTGGCAAGATAGGCGACAAGTTCCAGCTGCGGGGCTTTCACTTCAAGCATGGCGACGGGCTGCGCGGCAAGCTGCACCGGCACCAAATCATGCAGGGTCAGCGCACGGTCAAGGGTGCTCTCACGCGCGAGGAGTGGCTCAATCAGCTTGTGCCGCACAAGGAGCCCATCAAGCTGGACGTGGAGCGCGGTATTATCAAGGTGGGTATTCAAGGCTTTCGGAGGGTAAAAGTAAGTCCCAGGAGCAACATTAACCAGGAGAAGAGTTATCGATAAATATTTTTTAAGTGAAAAGTTTATTTATTTGAGGTAAAGTAAGTTTGAAATTTTTATTTTAGGTTCTTGACCCCGACGACCCGAACTTGGACCTTTTCCCGCCAGAGCCGTTGCTGGTTAGAAGACGAGAACGACAAAGCGCAGTCAGGGAGTTCGTGGATCAGCGGCTCGGACTGCACTACCACCGCCGGCTTCGCAAAAACTTAAAAATTGTGAAGCCGAAGCCGACTTACAATGTGAAGAAGTTCAATCTTATCCGCTACGTTTTCCCAGAGAAAGTGCTTGTCCCCGACGATCGCGTCCCGGTGGAGGAAATGGAGGTTCTGGACGCCACCAAGGTGAATACGACTCTGGAGTATCTCGATCTGAAACAGCAGCTGGCCAAATCGAAGCGCCACAAAAAGAAACTTGCTCGTATGCAGCTGCTTGGCCTGCCCTGCATTGAGAAGGAGCAGCTGAGGGCGGCAGATCCTTGTCTGGAAGTTGAGGAAGAAAAGGACGTAGACTGGGTGCCGACTCCAGAGCCTCCGTACAATGAGGATGAAGTTTCCCAGCGTGAAGAAGGTGGTTGCGATCGAGGGTCAAAAGGGCTAGGAATAGGCCAACGTGACATCATCCGGAAACGGTTATCGGGGGGTAAAGATTCCCAGCCGGCACGTTGGCGTGGAAATATGCCGGCACCCAAGGAGAGAGAAAAGACCCTGACGATACACCCGCGACGAAAGCGGGACTATGCCGCCGAACGTATTCCATCGGCTATTTTTAACGAGGTGCTGCAGAATTCTCCTCTGCCGCTCCTGGAGCAACCGGAACCAGAAAAGCTTCGTTTTGCCAATGTGAGAACCAAAAAGCGGCCATATACAGAAATATTTGAGGCCCGACATCACCATGACCACTGGGCGCCGACTCAAGTGAAAAATGTACACGTCCAGTATCAGCCAAAGACCGTGGTTCCCGAGATTACGAAAGTAGCAAAAAAGGTTCGGGAGCCGGTGGTGAAGTTTGAGAAGGCCAACCCGCCCAGCAGCAAGTATGTGGACAAAGACTTGACCATGCCCAGCTATGACTTTGACCACATGATTTCTGAACATCTGGCCGCGACCCGGACCGACAACAAAGAGGCTGCAGGCGAAATAGTGCAGAACCTTTGTCGGCCTTACGACTTCGTTTTCCACTCGCGTGATCCCGAGGAGCTGGCCAAGCTCGAATTTCCCGGCCGGAGGCAGTACCTGGATCTGCTGCGTGAGACCCGCGAAGCCATTTACGAGACCAAGGACATTGAGCCTGGCGAGGAGCGTCTCTTAGTGGACCGCCGGGCGGTGGTCGCGGACCTTGAGGAGGATCTTAAGAGCATTGAGAACTGCCTCAGCTCGCTGAGTAGCTCTGAATGCACTGACCTTTCGAACGACAGTGGCAGCTACATGGTGATTGAGGATAAGACCAAGTTGCCCCTCGACTACATACGCAAGCCTCTCGTCCCGTTCGAGGAGATGAGGCGCGCGCGCTTCCACGCCGCGGTTATTGACGTAAACGCCGAGGATGAGGATCCCTACCGCATGCTGCCGTTTTCAGGTCAGCACAAGGAGCAGGCCGATATGCTAGGGCCCAAGGATACGTTTTTTACTTTCAGCACTCGACTACGAAACAGCCTTCGCCTGCGACTGGAGGTCGAAGTGCCGGACGTCCGCAAGACGCTGCTTGGTCCCGGTACCCGCAAGTACTACGGGGCGGTGATAACTGACCTTGACGAGAACTACATTGAGGAGCTAAAGAGCCGCGCTACCATTAAGTCATTTAAGTTCAAGACCAGCATACAGCTGCTCAAAGACGCCATGCGGCTGAAGTACGAGTCTCTGCTGATCCAGGGCCAAATGGTGCGCACCAAGATCTACGACCGCATGAACGAGCGGCACTGGGTGGACATGAAGAATACAAAGAACTTGTATGAGGCATTGTTCGCCAAATGGAAGAAGAAGGAGTACAACGCGGCCATGACGATGGTGTATCAAGTGAAGTCGTATTACGAGACCACAGACAAGCTCAAGCAGGAGTTTCGGGATCTTGAGCGCGAGTTGATGATGCTCAATATGGACATTGTGTTTATCGAGGGCCATTGGATTCGTTGCATTATGCTTCAGAACTTCCACTACCTAATGGGTGACCAGGACTGGCGAGCAGAGAACGACTGGATACACCTGGTTCCCAAAAACAAGCGCCGCGGCAGTACTGAAGGCGAAGACGACGAGGAGCAAACGGCAGAGGACTTGGACGAGGAGGATATGGAACTGGAGCCTTATGACGTGTCGATCGCAAAGCGAGCCATAGTCAATATTCGCGTTCGCGACAAAGACGATGCCTGGGCCATTCGCGCCTTCTACTATGATGTATACATGCAAAAGGTCCACCCAATCCTGCAGGTCTTTTCAGACGCAGAGTCCTTCTTGCAGGGCCTGGAAAGCCTTAAGAACAAGACCTTCATGTTGCTTCTGGAAATGCACTTCACTTTGTCCATTCACACTGAACTGCAAGGTCGACTAGAGACCTTTGTCGATTGGTGTACCAAAGACCTTAAAGAAAAACAGGAGTACGTTGCTCGCAAGTCCGCAAAGAAGTTTTTTATGGAGGACCGTGCCAGAGAGATGGAGGAAAGGGTTCACCACTACCTCGGCAAGCCCATCGAGGAGACTATTGCGGACGAGGACTTCAACAAACATCGCGCAGTACTGGCTGAAGTGTGGCGCCGCGTAGTCCCAGACACTGTTCGCGGAACCAGCGATGTCCTGCCCAGTACTGCCGACATGGTGGCCGCCATTAGCGACGTCGTCATGGAAATCCTTTCAAAGTTCGAGTACATGGACATTGAAAAGGTCCGTTCCGTGGAAGCCACGTTACGCAAACGCCGGCGCTACAGGGAGAAGCTCTCCTACCAGGCCTATCAGGTGGAGCGGCGCATTGACATTGAAATGAAGAAGGTGCGCCGCAACTTAGAGCCGCCCTACTCGAAGCCGAAACGGGAGGGGCGCCTGCCAAGGCTCTACCTCAAGAAGAGGGTCATTCCGGAGGAGAAAGAGGTGCTAGTGATCTCTGAAAACACAAAGAACTTTGTGCGGGCCTTTAGGGAGGATGGTTACACCGGCGACCAGATTACCCACACCTCCCTGTTGACTGTAGACAACATGCAGGAGCAGATTGTGCCTTTCTACTTTGACCACTTCCTGAAAATCAATGGCTATACGCCCAATTACAACTTCAGGACCAACGTGGACATGCGCGACGGGCCCGAGTTCAATCGCCTGAAAGTGCGCGAAGTCCTGCCTGATGTGCTGGCTAGGCTGGAGACTTGGGAGACGATGCACAAGAAGATCATGGAGGAAAATATACAGAGAAACCCAAAGATGTACGAGAACGTCATCTAGCAAGCGCCGTTCTAGTTTGGTTGGTGTTCAATCCCTTTACCATTTAAATTTTAAGTTTTATTCTCCAAATCTTTCGCCACTCGATGCTTTAAGCTGGAGACGTAGAAATACAAATTCTAAAAATTGTATATTTCAAAATAAAGTACCTAAGCCTGGCGGAGTTATAAAATATATATTCCGCGTGTATGTTCATTGCCGTTCTTGCTCGATATGGAACTTTTTGGAGCAGCATTCACTACTGATGCAGCTGACATTTTTCTTTTTGCTTCCAACTTACCGACTTCTCCTGCACTTCCTCTGTCACATCCTTATTTAGGTTTTGCTGGCTTGTCCTCTCGTCATCCGTTTGTTTGGCTAGGCAACAGCTGCAACGGTTATTTTAATTTTTTACCTGACGTCTTACTTGAATGCCCCTTGCGCAGACTTTTTCCTTTCCTTCCTATAAAACTTGCATTGCTTTTGTACTTTACTAGCACATAAATCACACCAGTTTCGTGGGACTACTTTTTCCTTTGGTGGAAGCGCGAGACAACCTTTCGAAGAGTTTTCATCTGCGCGATAACTTCAGAGGGAGGAGATATATACATAAATATATATTCAACATTAAATCATCGATATGTTGCTCTGTGGCTGTCAACTTTTCTTTGTTCGAATTTTTCACAGACAAATCAAAATCAAAGTCTACACCAGATTCTTTAGTTGCCCTCACAGGGCGTTACACAATTTCCATTAGCAGCTAATGAAGCATTAAAAAGCGACAAAAATCCAAGAGGAAAGAAGCCAGCTCGAAAGTACTTAACGCCATATTTCCAAGGACCTCAAAAAGCACAGCGTTGGAGTGCGGAGTGAGTCAGTAAAGAAAAATAAAAACCTGAATAGAATAAAAGAAAGCATTGCGAAATATTCGACTGGATGGTGGAATGGCTGGCCGGGCTGATAGCCCAAATCCTAATAGATGGCAGAGTGGAGAATAAAGGGAACTCGGCGAAATATAAAAGCATCACGAATTAAATACCTTTTAGCAATTAATCTGCTTAGCTAATGGACGTTTTCAGTGTAGACTGCGACGACATTGGTCGGCTCAGAGAGCTGGGGAGGATTTACATTAGGCTTATGGCAGGCTGACCAGGCGGCGGAACTCTCATTGAATCGCTTCTTTATCCAACGCTCGTCCGACTTCATTCAATAAACGCGCAGAGCCAGCCATTGATGCACGCTAAATCCGGAATACACTCTAACCATCGGTATGATTGTCCGTCCGCACTTCTTTGATTGCTTTCTGGACGTTGAGCTTGCCTTGGAAATTCACTTATACAGTTGGCCTCTTTAATTGACGGAAAATTGAAAACCCTAAAACCGTAAATAGTATGGATAGGACACGTATCTTTAATTCGATTAAATAATGAAATCATACAAAGGCATATGTAGATATAAACTTGGTAACAACCGGTTTCCTCATTATCTCAAGACATCATGTCTGATAACACATTCTTTACCTTTGAAATTGTCGTTTAAACCCGTTTGCCTGTCTGTATACGCGGAGAGACCTCATTAAGTTTAACAGATATTAAGAGGGCGAGAGGGCAAGCTTATATTAGCATCCAACCACGTCCCCCTTACTGCGCATATATTCGCAATGGGCAGTAAGGTAACAACATACTGCTCTAGTTTACATAGTAACGGATATCTGACAGTCGGATACTATTTTCCATTTTCGCAAAGTGTTCAATTAGTTAGCCTCTCAGCAGGAGCATCGATTATTCTCAAAAATAAAATGAACTCAAAAGGGAAAAATTATATACACACTTTTCCCGGCCAAATGAATTGAAACTTTATTTGGATTATGAAATTAGCACACGCCCAGTAAGTTCATCCAGTATTAAGCGCTTTTTAATTAGGGTTTCGGCGGCCTTTGAAGTGGTCATTTGAAATGAGAGTTGAGGTGAACGGAAAAGGCAGTGGATTGGGTGGCGGCGCAGCACTTCATAACTCTGAGTAAAATGTAATGCTTGGAAATAAAATGGAAGAAATGCAATTAAACTTTAGGAGGATGAAATGGCAAGGTAATAACGAAATGGAAACGACAGAAAATGGCATTCGGGGCAATCAAGCCGAAAATGTAAATGAAAACTGACAGAAAAGCAACAACGTTTTCTTGGCATAACAAAAATCACTCATGAAATTTGATTGACTGCATCAATGAGTAAGTGACTTTAACCACTGACAGATGAACCGAAGCTCCCAGGGAAGAAGTTCGTTTTTGCTGCGGAAACGTCCTGACAATCACAACCCAACTTTTCGAAAAGCCGAAAGGACCCCACGACCCCCCGCCTGCCGCTCTAGGTCTCATGGAAATTGACAATCAAATTGCAAATAGCTTTATCTTGTAGTTTGTTTATTTATTTATATCATTTCGTTCACTTTCTGTGCACGGCAGGAAACAATGAGCAGGACCGAGGAAATGGAGGGGTCGGGGCAGAGGGCGTCCATATTTGTTAAGCTCGCCCTTGCTGTGGCCACCATTCCGCTCGAGTGTGTGAGTGGCTGTGTGATTGCCTGTCCTTTTTGGCCTGTTATCCTTGGCTTATGTTTTCAATTAAATTTCCATACAATTTTCATGACATGATGAACTACCTAGGGCCAGGAGCAGATCCAGCGCCGGGACTCAGCTCGACTTTCCTCTCAGCTGTGACTGACTAGACCATTGTGGCTTCGTGTGCGTGTGTATGTGTATGTGCCAGTCAATTTATTTAATAACAAACGCACAGGATGCTCACACAAGCGCACTACGCTCCCGCATATACACATACACAGCCTTTCACACGCCGCGCCGTATGTTACACAAGAGCACCGCCAGTCCAACTTCTGTTACATCGTACATATCTCTGTAAAGTTTCTAAATACATCAAGCGCCAAATATTTTTCATTTTATTTTTGGTTCTGTAAGTTCAACTAAGAAGGATCAGGCATTAAACAATTTAAATTAATTACCAGCACATTTCTGTAAGAATGTGAATGTTGTCTTTCTTTTTGAGCCACAAGACGGGACCTGATTTGATCATCAGAGAAACGAATGACTAGAATATTTAGGCCAGCCAAAAACTTTGTCTCAAACAAAAAAGGCCGCCTGCTTCAACACGAAGTATAAGCTGTGGGATACTTTTCTTCTACGAGTACCCTCTTCTAATTTATGATTAACGGACTTGACATCATTTTCGATTTATGTACTCGTTAGCCCCATATAGCATTTCAATTTTCTAACAAGAATATTTGGTATTAGCTTATTAAAAACGTAGGCGGCGCCGTGAAGTTGTTTGACATGCTTTATACGGATCTAGCAATAGGTGGCGCTAGTAAGTGTTTACACGGTGTCAATATATGTTTATAGTTCTTACCACCAGTAATCGGGTTCTTCAAAATCCATAATTATATTCAGTTAACGCTGCTAAAAACTTTCAACTGCCACTGTGCCACTACCAATTTCAATATCGTTTCAAATGTAAAGTATTATAATATAAACTCGCACTAAAATGCGGAAAGCTTACACCACTTTATGTTACAGTTGACTTAATTTTATGGCAAAAGGGGCGCAGAAATAAAACCGAAAAAGAATGAAAAGGAAAAGAAATCACTTAACCCTTGGGCAACCCCGACACATGCGATATTGACTTGGGTGGGGCGGCGACCCTTTTATCCAACTTGAACTCAAATTCAGTGCGGAACTGGAGTCAAACAGAATATAAATCAGTTTAATGATTTCTCTTCCATCGCAAAAAGCGAAGGGAGACTGCGATTTGGGTTACTCTTTGGCTTTAAATGGACTTTTGAAATCAGTTTGAAAAATGTCTAATTCAAACTGCTTTCTGGGCTGCAACAGTAAGCAAGGAGTGTTGGAGCATCTCAAAGAAGTTATGTAATTATGGTATTTGAGCAGAACCGTGATAAGCAATGCTAAACTTATCGACATTCTTAAATTGATCAAAACGCTTCTACTTCGCTACTTTACTTATAAGCCTAAAGGAGCGAACAGCAAGAAGTCAAGTGTGAATGTATCTTCATCTTTATAAATATCTCTACATCTAGTTTCATCTCTTCATTTTATGATAAATATGCTATCGCTAGAACAAATTTATATGGAATATCAGGGAGACGGATATGGCTAAGTCGAGTCGATTTCTGATAGACTGCTACACATCCTTCTTCGAATTACGAACACTTCAACAAGTACATTATAGCCTTTCACTCTACGAGTTAGGGTAAAATTCGACAACGGGCTCAATGTAGAAGAAATACCTTATGAAAACTACAGCGTTTACTCATAAGTACTTTGAAGACTACTTCGTCTCAGAAGGAAATTCCATTTATTTACAGACTAATCAAAGTCTAAAGAAATCTGTTTGAATTTAAATTAGTGTAATTAATATATGGACTTTATGATAGACTGCCTTGTTTGCTGACGATTAGGAAAGTTGGAAGACTAACCAATTCCGAACTAAACCTATATTTAGCACCAGTGACTGCGTAGGCAGTGGACCATCATGAAAATATATGTTTTATGTCAGCTAAATCCAAATAAAACCCCATGTTTAGTAGCTCCTTACTCACAGCATCAGAATTTTTCAGCACACAAAGAAAATCCCTCACAATATTGAGGGCCGCATTCTAAAGACCAGAGTAAGGAACGCCGTCTTTTTTGGCCGGCTTCTCGTCACGGAGAGTATAAATTGCTCAAAACATAACTGCGGTAAAAACGTGTCAGTATGGGTGCGTTAGTGAGTGCATAAAAAGTAATGCTGAAATAAAAATACCTGAAATATGCTCACAAAACCATACACACGCCCTAACGATTCCTGAAGGAGTAAAAATTGTAACGGCTCGGGAATGTAGAGTGAGTTTGCACGCTAAACGCCGCCCGAAAGAGAGCAAGCCAAAGTCATTAAATGCTTGTCGGCCAGGTGGGGGAGTCCCAGATCCATGCCCGACATTCTCCTCTAAGACAGACCCGTAGGCTTCCCCAAAAAGGTTTTACATGTCATTGCGGCCCGACGCACACAAGCATAGTGGAGAGTCAGAAATTGACATAAATACATAATGAGCCACAATTTCGACCCACATGTGGGCGAATTGATGAGGGGACAGGGCGTGGCAGTGGCCAAAGTGCGTGGGGCTGAAAATCATAAACTTTTACTTTAATTTCCCGCTGGAATTGGCCCAAGAAACCGAGGCAATAAGCGAGTCCACACTAAGTCGGGCCGGGAAAGCGAGCTGTCGACAATTCGCCTAGATGTTTGCACTTAATGTGCTCGACCTGAGGGTGGTTTTAGGGAACTACTTTTTGAAAGTCAAACGTGTTGAAGTTCAAAGAATTTGTACTGCCAATGTAACCAGCAAGTTGTAAGACCAGGTTTCCATATTAGCTAATTGTTCATGTGAGAAAAAACGGCGTCTATCTTATCGAATCCAATTTTCATTATGACCAAAAATTGTAGTTTTGAAATTTAGGCGCTAACCAATTCTTTTGGAATTGCCATTGATTCATGGGCAGAGCGGAAACTCTGATGACGAATATCCAACACCACAAGAACTTTCCAAATGTGTATACCCGTCCAACTAGTACACACGGGGTGCCCGCCTCTCACGGCTTTATGTCGACCTGCTCTAATATTAGGGCCAAGTTGTTGGCTGGCAAAGTTCACGCGAAGGCGATGGAACGGCATTCCCGGGAGACATTTTCAATTATTTATTATTTATGTCAGGAGGGGGAGCCGACTCCAGCACCGGCCATATGTGTCGTGTCCTGTTCTTGGTGGCCCGTCAGTTGACAAATTTGCAGCCAAAACCTGACGAGCTTTAATGCGGGGCAGGGCACGAGGACCTGTGGCCCGGAAACAGTCAGGCTGCGGAAATGGAATCGTGGAAATTTCGTTAAGAAAATTATTTACATTTGCAAATTTTATGAGCTTTGTTCCATCCAAGGAGGATCGGGCTTGGCAGATGGGCGGGGCTGGCTCTCACATGTCTGCATGTTTAATGTAATGCAGTGTGTGCCCCACCACGCCCACCACGCCCACCTGATTCTCACCCTCCTCAGGACTCGCTCCTGGCTCACCTTACCCTGGCAGTGTTGTGCTTTTTAACCGTATTAAATTACATCCCTGTTGGCGTTTATTAATGGCGCAAACTTTTAATGAGAATGTGCATATTTAATTGCAAAGTCAAGAGAAAAAGACAGCTGGAATGGGAGAAGAGGTATGATAATGTGGTGCTGGCCTAGAAACCGCTAAGATTCTCTTTGTTCAGAGGGGTCACCAATTTTCCACAACCTCGGGGGTCGGTGTACCTGATCTCCTGGTTCCCTGGGAGCTGGCATGGGACCGTAAATGAGAACAAAATGGGTTCTGGGAATGCTACTTAGCAGCAACATCTCATCAGCATTAATGTGCCCTGGTCGTCGTCATAATCAGCGCTGAGGTCGCAAACGCAAATTGCCTCAGTGCTTGCCTGCGTTTCAGTATTTTTTAGCTAATTTTAAAATGTGCACAAATTTGATGTTAATGTTAAAGTCACGAGAAGGGTTTAATGTTAAATTTTAAGGTTTAAGAATGAAATTTATAAAGCAACTTAACATCCTAAGTAACTGAATATCTGAAAGAATGTGTTGAAAGAAATTCACAGTTCAGATCGAAATACCCCTATACCTTAAGCCCCCAATATATTGGCGTTTGAAAAATAGACTACACAGATCTGTACACCAGCGGACATTATGACCTCTAGCGTAAAAAATATTAGTAATACATAATATATAATATATATATTTGTATCTTTATGGGTTATAGGCTTGGTATATTTTTTCCATCTTGAAGCAAAATGATATAGTCGATGATGATTACAGTCGAGTAAAGAAGGCTATTAAGTATGTCACCGCCAGTTAATCAAGAAGCCTTATACGATTCAAACAACAGATGGCGTTATAATGCTTGTCTTAATACTGATTAACAGACTAACGGTAGTGTATCCGAATTCCGCATGAAGTTTACTTATATCTTTGGCACTGTAAGGCTTAAAGAATTATATATTTAAAAAATAATAAAGTAAAATCACTTTGCGTACATAAGTTATATTTTTTAAAAGGTTTCACTTTCTTACGACTTATAATTACTTTTTGGATGCGGATCGCTCTAATCAAGTGCCGAGTATAAGAGAATACACTTCCTGGTCTAATATGTAGTTCATGCTATCCCAAGGATTACAGCGCTTACAGGAAAAAGGGACATCTGATCTCTAAGAAGAACCTTATTAGTTCGAAAACGATTCCTTCTGCCTGTTTTTCTTTTCAACGGTTACATTTACATTCCTTTTACCCTTGGAGTAGTGCTAAGTAGTAGGTATAAAATGTTTTCAACTACCAAAACATTGACGAAACTTGAAGTTCGTTGGCCAAAACATGTTTACATCGGTAAAAGTATTGATAGCTTGATAGCAGTTCCATTTCATTTGATAAGAAATCAAGAGTAAGTACCTTTATTTTGCTATCGCTGATCAGTCGAAACCCAAATGCGTAATGGCCCATACCATTTATATTTAATGCTCATAAAAAAAATGATTATGAATTCACTTTACAAAAATGCAACCATAATTTTAAATGAAGCAATCCTGTAAGGGGAGAAGTCGTCGTTTTGGGAAAACATAATATTAAATGCTTTAAATGTCATAAAAATAATAATTTACTAATATCAGACCTTCGCGACTGAAAAAAGTTGATATTATCTTCATTTTAAATATTTTGAGACGGATATAAAAGGATAGGATCTGGCAAGCCAATTATAAAATATGTTCTGAGTAATATTAAATTCTTGCTATATTTTTATTATTGTACAGCACTGTCTGAGATTCTACGAATTCAAGAAATATTGATTGATTTTGATATACGAAAAACAAAGTAGATTGCTCTACACTAAATATTAGCACTACGACAATCAGTCTTAATTGGTGGGTCTTTATCAAACTTTGGTCATTCTTCAGTTGCTTTTAGTTTCTTACTTTCAGTGAAGCTGTTAGAAACCCTAATTGCCCCATAGATAGGACTGAGTCTTCTCAGAACACCATTGACAAAGCTCTTTTCATAAAGTCAGGATCTGGTGATGCTAATAAGTAACCATAAGGTCAGAGTATCACTCCAGATATTTTTATATGCTATTATAAAAAAGGTTAAGTTCTGCAGATAAAATTCCTCAAGAAAACGTCAGAGTGATTGAAAGAGGAAGTGAAAGAAGAATGAGCTTGAAAATATATCAATTAAATGATCAAAGAACGGAAATGAAAATCGTGTCGTCGTGTTTCCAGTTCCGTCTTGTGAGAACAATTAAAGAAATTAAAACATATAGGGAAAACGCCCGTATCCAACAGATAACGGAAGCCATTAAATTACCATCTCATATGATCACGGTTGCCGCCCAAGACGCAATAGTGTGTGGCCTGTCTATCAAAAACTCGATAAGGGGAGATACTCATCTTGAGACAAAGGGCTTCATATAAAAGACTGTGCACTTGCAAAACAGTCATTAAAGCGTGTTCGTCAGCACGAGACTTATTGTGCAAGCTTAAATAATACAAAGGAACTCTAAACAGGAATAGCTGCCGACAAAATGAAAGTTGCCTTTGGTATGAAAGGGATACAGTTAAGGAGTCTGAAGACGACACTAAGGACTAAACCATCTTTTCCTTCCAGTAATTGCCTGTGCCGCCCTTTTCGTGGCTAGCATCAGTGCCGCTAGTGTGCAGCCAGCCGTGAAATCGATCAATAATCAGCTCTATCGGCGTTACGTTTGTGCCCACAAGTCGGATGGATTCCGCGCTCTGGTTCCTGGCAGTTGCTCGCAATACTACGAGTGTCAGTCAGGAGTGGCTCTCGTCAGCACGTGCTCTCGCTTTTTCGACGCTAAGGTCCAGGGATGTGTCAACTACAACACTGGTTGCATTGAGGTTCAGCCTTCAACATTGGGCAGTGCGCCTGTTGGAGGCTCTTCCGCCGTGGTACCATGTGCTGAAACGACCACAGCGTGCGCCCCAACTACTACCACCCTTTGTGCAATAGAACCAACACCAGCCACAACAACCTGTGAGCCAACGACTACAACAACTTGTGAGCCAACAACTACAACAACCTGTGAGCCAACAACTACAACAACCTGCAAGCCAACAACTACAACAACTTGTGAGCCAACAACTACAACAACCAGCGGGCCAACAACTACAACAACCTGCGAGCCAACGACTACAACAACTTGTGAGCCAACAACTACAACAACCTGTGAGCCAACGACTACAACAACTTGTGAGCCAACAACTACAACAACCTGTGAGCCAACAACTACAACAACCTGCAAGCCAACAACTACAACAACTTGTGAGCCAACAACTACAACAACCTGCGAGCCAACGACTACAACAACCTGCGAGCCAACGACTACAACAACTTGTGAGCCAACGACTACAACAACTTGTGAGCCAACAACTACAACAACCAGCGGGCCAACAACTACAACAACCTGCGAGCCAACGACTACAACAACCTGCGAGCCAACAACTACAACAACTTGTGAGCCAACAACTACAACAACCTGCAAGCCAACAACTACAACAACTTGTGAGCCAACAACTACAACAACCAGCGGGCCAACAACTACAACAACCTGCGAGCCAACGACTACAACAACTGTGAGCCAACGACTACAACAACCTGCAAGCCAACAACTACAACAACTTGTGAGCCAACAACTACAACAACCAGCGGGCCAACAACTACAACAACCTGCGAGCCAACTAAACAACTGAAACAACCTGCGAGCCTACAACTACAACAACCAGTGGGCCAACAACTACGACAACCTGCGAGCCAACGACTACAACAACCTGCAAGCCAACAACTACAACAACTTGCGAGCCAACAACTACAACAACCAGCGGGCCAACAACTACAACAACCTGTGAGACAACAACTACAACAACCTGCAAGCCAACAACTACAACAACTTGTGAGCCAAAAACTACAACAACCTGCAAACCAACGACTACAACAACCTGCGAGCCAACAACTACAACAACCTGCGAGCCTACAACTACAACAACCTGCGAGCCAACAACTACAACAACCTGCAAGCCAACAACTACAACAACCTGCGGGCCTACAACTACAACAACCTGCGGGCCAACACTACAACAACCTGTGAGCCAACAACTACAACAACTTGTGGGCCAACAACAACAACAACTTGTGTGCCAACAACAACAACAACTTGCGGGCCGACGACCACAACAACCTGTGAGACCTCGGTGGCATCAAAGGCCAAGCCAGCCTCTGTAAAAGTGCGACCAGCAAAGCCCCTGCGTCCTGCCGTGCGACCCGTATTGGAAACTGAGAAGCTGTCGGTCACCAAAAGCCATGACCTAAGCATTTCCACTTACACGAAGTACGTGTGCCGCAATAAGCCCGACGGATTCATGCTAGCTTCACTGAAGAGCTGCTCCGACTACTACATCTGCCGATATGGAAAACCCCTGCTGGTTAGCTGTGGCGACAAGTACTTTAATGGTCTCAAGGGCATTTGCGATCTTCCCGAGAACACGCGTTGTGTGCAGCCCCAAGCCTAAAAATGACAAGAATAAGGTAACTTGTGAAGTGGCCTCTTGGAGCACCACCTGACCCCACCTTGATTTGTGCTCGATTGATCCTACATCTTTTTCAGGTTAAATAATATACCAAATGCAAAAGCTAAAATAAGCTTAAAAAATTGGTCTTTTTGCTCAAGTTTTTATGGAGAATGGGTTGGGTTAAGCTGTGGTATGTAGAAGATAGTGCTTAGCAGGCTTCTCTACATTTGAATTTACAGCATGGCTGCGGCGGACGGCATTCAGCATCGGGAGGAGACTATGGTGCCATACCCGATCAATGGCATACTTGACGTTCGTCGTTTAAGGTGCATTGCTTTGAGGTCCCATAGTGGCGCTTGAAGTGGAACTGGTGCCTGGTGATCGGGTATCAAACCAGCCTCTGGCAACTCTACTAGCACTGAATGGAAGTAACTGCCAAAAACACTAGAGAATCCAACTTTTATACTAGCTTATAAAGACACTGTTTCCATTTGGGGGTCAGCGTTAATAATGCCTTGATTTTTGACGGATTGAGGTGTCCTCTTACTGGGTTTCGTTCAGAATTGTGTAACGGATTAAGGGCACAAGAAGCAAAGGGAACCATTAGTTAAATGGAAGGATGGCGGAAATGGAAAATAATTTGCAACTGCTCCCTGCTGTAGAAATCGATAAATCGGTCAGAGTACTACGAAGGAGAGTACTGAAATTCATTCGAAATATTGATATTAATTAAATGGCTAATGGCACATAAGTTCCTAGTGCCAACTTCCTGCCCCCGTTAAAAAGCCGACCACAATAATTGAGTTCACATATCCTTATTAAATTTTTACTTTATAAACCACCCTAAAAAGCTTTATTAAATTTTCTTGGTATATGAATGCAGCATTTTTTAATGAATACAACGTTTACTTTTTGCTCGAATTTCAGTAAAGCCAAGGTTTTTTCATAGGCCACCCTGAAATTAAAATTAAAAAAATCATTAGGATATGTAGTAAAAGATAAAATAAGGAGTCGGTGGCTTTGGTTTCCCCAGGTTTGATTAGTAGACAAATACAATACTTTTATAAGAATTGAGGAAATAGTAAGAGGGATTTGGCATTTGGGATGTAGGCCATTATAATTGATGATTACTTTTCAGAATTCCGTCATCCCCCAGAGAGCTCTTAATAATGGGGCTTTCGAAATTGGAAACCAAGCTTATACTGTAGGTTGCCAAAAATCAGTTTCGATAAACATCGAAAGGGCCCGAAAAATTTTGCAATAAAAGCCAGCACTCTGCACTCTCCGTCGTCACTTTTTAGTGCTTTTTTTGGCACCGGAAACTCATACACGCTCTCTAGAATAAAATCCGCGTTACCCTTTTCCAACTGATGCAACTCTCCGCTCCAGCTGAAGAATTCAAATTAGAGCATTGTTTACAATCGAACGGCCTCGCAACCCTCTTTGTGCAAAAGATTTATTGAACTTTTCTGCCCAGCCCTCGCCTCCCATCTCCGCGGAAAGTCGGTGAAATTTTTATTGCCAGCGCTCTGTACTTTGTTTTGGCTCTTAAGAAAATTTCAATTCGCCCTACCTCCACCCCCCCCACATACGAACAGAGGACTCACCTGAACTACATTTGTCGGGGGAATATCTCACACGTTCCCAAAATCCGTCTGAAGCCTAGCAGGTGTACAGGCCGTACGGCCAACAGGCGGGTCCACACGGTCCGCAGCCTTTGGGTCCGCCGCAGCAGGAGTAGCTGCAGGGTCCCAGTGACAAGGCGCAAGGGCCACACCAAGGTCCGCACCAGGGTCCGCAGGGCCCCGAGGGTCCGTAGCCGTAAGGACCACAACCAAAGCCGCACATATTTTTTTCGTTGGTGCTATAAGAAAGGGATACGTTTTAGGAATAGCCACCCGAGTAGTTTTTAGACACTCACGCAAACTTCACGGGTAGAGAATTAGTTGGAAAACTGAAATTTTGATATTGAATTTTTATTCAGAGATTTTCAGCCCCGTGTGGCCCCGTGTGACTAGAGAGCTCCAGATAAAAACTACAACTGACCCTTTGGCGTAGGAAAGCCTGATGTCATCAGTCTGTGCTTGAAGTTCCGTTCATAGCCGACTAAATACGTTATCCGTACTACGTTGACGATTGTATTAACACGGAGTATCGCTATAGCCGAGTGCCCCGACACAGATACCCGTTACTGTGCTTACCAATTGTAAAATAATGCAGAAGCAGAATCTGAAGCTGTGTAAAATTTAACTACCTTAACTAACTTATGGGCAGCAAAAACGTTGATGAATGTTTTAAAAAAATGATGAAAGGGTAACCATCTGATGGGCTTGTTTTGTTTTTAACGAGTCAGCTGTTAATTGATGTCAGCTGTTTTATTCGTTAAAAACAGGGCTACGGTATTCGCAGATTCTGTTGTAACCCAAAATTGCAATCCACACATAGACGAACCAAGTTTTAGCTCGAAGCTAACTTAAACTCAACTCGCGCAGTTCTTTATATATTTTCCAAGGGGAAAAATCTCATATTTAACCTTAAACCTTAAATCGTTTAAGGCTCCACAATCATTTAGGGTTCTTGTCTTAAGACACATCGGCAAGAATTTACCCTAAACTAACATCCTATTTCCACTTGGCGGGATAACATTTGTGTCCAATAAATATCAAATAAGGTCGTTTCCCCTTTGCACCAAATCAGAAACTTTATACGTCCCTTAAAAACGTGCGAGTCGGTTTTTTTGCCAATTTAATTTCTGTAACCATTAAAAGTAAGAAGTCGGTACAGCCATAAAAATCAACGAGCCGACAGAGTTAAATTAAATAGAACAATAACCAAATTGGCTCAGCGGTCTTTAAATTTTGAAAATAGCAATTAGAGCAGCAAGACTCCAATCAAAGCTAACTCCAGCTCGGTGGTGGGTGTAACGAGTCCAGATTCGATGAGGCGGGAGGATGGGGTAAGGGCAACAGCTGCCAGGATCTCCCCTTTCCCTGGGGATAAATTAGTGGTTTTGGTCTCTAATATAGTCGTCTGCTCGAATGCCCCTGCCATTTGTCATTTTCCCTTGACACCCTCGGCGCCATTTGCTTTCCGCACTGATTTAATATTTATTTTATTAATTCAAAATTAACATAAAAATGTTCGAAATATTTTGACACTTGGCATTCGGATGCACCACTTCTGGGGCTTCGAGGCTGCGACTGTGCTTGCCGAAAGCTTGCCGGGGTGGCTTGTTATTATTTTGACACTTGCCAAACAATTGGCATGCGAAATGAAAACCCAGCTGCCTCGACGGAGCAACCGAAAGGAACAGAAGGACGTCGGACTAAGGGAAAATTTTATTATGGAATTTCGTAAATTAAATATTTACACGACAGCTGTGCGAAGGTCTTAAGCCTGCTAGGTCTCCATACTGGGGCTTATACAAGAATACATGGCGTTTCCTCCCTTCGTTTGGCCCGGTGATTCAATATTTTGCTTGAGCCATAATTGAATTTAATAGACGGCCCGTGGATTCCTTGGGCTTTCGTTTCAAAAATAAGTTTGTGGAAAAGCCTGTAATAATTTTCCCTTGTCTCGATTAGCTCTTTCGTTTTGATTAGCTGCTTCAGTGCATTAATTAAATTACCATAAGCATTTGCCTGACCAAAGTCAACAGCTAAATTGGGCACTGAAAAATAAAAACAAAGACAAACACGTTTAGAGGAAAAACAAGGTGGGAAGAGAGATTCATTCGAAACGACGACCAACGTAAACTCGCCGAACGCTGTGTCACTAATTCAGGTAATTTGTCACATTATTTACATTTTAAATGAATGCTGTCGTTGTTGTTGCTGGTGGTCGTGGTGGCGCTTCTGGTAAGGACAGTAAGTAACCGAGAGAAAACCAATTTTCATTTTCATTTTCATTTTCATTTTGCGGGCTACGCAGCAAACGGAGGAGACGAAAACAAATGAGTAACTGACGTGCTGGCCAAGGCACAAAGCACAGGGCAGAAACGGAGAAACCCTTTTCCTGCTGCGCCACCTTCTTTGCCAAGGAGCTCCGCTCCCACATACAGATGTCGGAGCCAAAGGGCAGGCAAGTAAAAAGGACTCAGCCACCAAGAAATGAATGACCAAGAAATGCGATTAAAATTTGAACACTGAGGTGAAAGGAAAAAGCCGCTTTTGTGGTACCCGTCACGCTAGCGGAGGGTTCCAGCCCTAATTTGAATGAAGTGGCAACATTGATAATAGCCCGCATCTGCCGCATCTGAGAAGCTCTTGAGCCACCCACACAGCTGGGTGCCCTTTTTTTAATGGCGCTGCTTACTTTTACTGCTTATCTGAACAAATCTTATGTCAATGGACCGAACACCTGACTAAAACTCCAGCTAACCAAAAGGCAGGAGCAAGTGTATGCCGATGGAGGTATAACGAAAATTAATCATTGAATTGTCTAAATCATTCGAAACAGGAAATAGACCGCGACTCCCAGATGCCCACAACTGTTATACCAAATTTTAATATAATTTTGCTTACAGAAACTGAATTATATTAGCACCACTTATCATAAAGATCATAAAAAGCATGATTAATAACTGTATTTTAGGTCACCTAATTATTTTTTAAGAAATTTCTAATGAAATATTCGATATAATAATGTAAAAAATGATTAAAACAGGAAATGCCTAACCAATACATACCCTGAAACTTAGTGGAGTCACTGTTGCTCGCGAATTGTGGGCGTTAGAGTGAGCTTCTCAAGAATAAGCATTTCTTTCTATATTTTATGGATCCTAATTCTGAATTTATAGGATTCATAGGGTCGAGTTACCCTTTCTTCTCTCCTAATAATATTGTCTATACCCGCCGTTGATATATTTTTGACTTTTTTCAGACCAAACTCTTTATTTTATAGTTCCTAGGTAAGGCACTTAAAGACCAAATCAATTTTTACGCCGATCGATAACTAATCAGTTATCACTTGGCAGACTATCCTAACATCTACCTATCCTATATGCCTACCATATAGGTACATTTTTCTGCACTCAATGGTACCAATGTCATTTTTGTCGTCCCTCATAACAAATTATAAACAGTTTTTTACGCTTTTAAATGAGTTCTCAATCTTCTTCTCCGATTATTTTGCGCCGTAATGCGAGCGATTAAAAGTTATAGCTATCCTTTGCCATTTTTTATTTCCCCATCATTCACAGCGCTCCAGTCCCCTTCCACACATCCTTTCAGCGTGCAACCACAATGCCGCTGTGAAACGAGGCAGGCTATAGAATCATAGAAATGTTTTAGGCAAATGTGAATTTTAGGAATTAACCTAATATTGTTTCGCATATGTAATATTATTTATAACTGTCATCGCAAAACAGTAAGTTTCCAGTGAGTCAGTCAGCCCAAAGGCACGTCTGGTAATGCGCACGACAAAGTACGTGTGGGTATTATTATTTGTGGGTCAATGAAAGGAAAGAGCCTACAGGGAAAACTCTGGTCTGTTCGCCTCTACCAAATTTATGGGGAGGCATGGGTCATGAAGGCACTGCTCTCCTGCCAACGCCGAAGCTGGCAGGATCCGGTGAACGTTTGCAGGGCTGATTGAATTTTTCCTTAGCATACTTTGCGGATGCTGAAAATAATTGAAGAGAACTGAGAAATAAGATTAATTTCTGAGAGCGCTTATTGATATAAAATATTCCAGTGTTTGCGTTTAATTATTTAATTAAGATTTTTTTAAAGAATATTTAATTGGCTGTACAAGCTCCTTGTAACTGGCTGTTGAAATAGGGAAATTTCATTTCATTTAATTTGTTTAGCATTTCCATTTCAGAAGCCGGTAAAAACAATGCGCCCATATTCTTAAGCGCTGTAGTCGAGTGCCGCGACTATAATATACCCGTTACACTTTTACACAATTTTAAAATATTCATTTTGCTAGAGGAAATGGACAAAACGCCACCTTTTTTCAAAAAAAAAAAGGTTTACTAACTGATGCTGACGTCATAAATAGCGAAATAATGTTCCGATTTGAAAAATCTTTGCTAAATCGATAGATTTGGACAAAAAATGTTGTATAGGGTCAAACGAAGGTCAGCAGGATGCTGAAATAACGTTGCGCTGCTTATGAACCTCAAGAATCTGCTTGCTTTATCAAAACTCTCTATGTCTTATAGTTCCTGAGATCACAGCGTTCATACGGACAGACGGACATGGCTTAAAAGACTTCGCTATTGATACTAATTAAAAATATATAGGGTCGGAAACGTTTCGCTTTACCTGTTACATACTTTTCAACGAATCAAATATACCCTTTTACTCTACGAGTAACGTGTATAATGAGGGAGAGCGCGGAAAAGGTTCATTTTCTCTCGTGCTTTTCTTTGTAATTCGATTCTCCATTTCGTATCATGGTTACTTTTGTTTAGCCTTACATTTTTCACAGGTTATTCTGACAGTTTGGTTATAGACAAAAAGTATATCAAAATTATTTGCCACTAGATTTTTTTTTTATCAGAATTAGGGATTTCCTATTTAAGTGGAAGGAAAGGAAGACTCAAGACTTTCCACAAAACTCTTCTGTTTTTTTAGCTTGATTACATGTTCCTCGCGTATTGTTTGTACGGTATTAATTAATTTATTTTTGGATTTTTATTTCTGCCACAGACTCCCTATGAAGACACCCGTAAGTATTTTATGCCAACGTATGCACAAATGATAACGTCCCTCGTCCTCAAAAGCCTCAGCTCTTGAGCCGTGTATTCACCGCAAGCCAAGTTGTGTGCACTGTTAAGTGGAGAACGCTTTCCGATGCCACTCCGGCTCCAGTTGCCGCTCCCTCTGCCGATTCCGTTCCCTGTCCCTTTAGCCCTTTAGAATAGGCGGTGCCTGCCTGACTGCCTTCCGGTCCTCCACTATGTTTGTGCAATGAAGCGTTGGGCTTTTATAACGCCAGCAGGCAGCTGAGAAACTCCAGAAAGAGCGGCCAGTGGAGGATGAGCGGAGTCAGTCATTGAAAAGCTGTAAAAATCTGAAGGAAAATTCTTAATTTACAAAAAGAACGAAAGGAAAGCTCTGGCGAAATAAATGAAACGTGAGGTAAAAAAAAATGAAACTCAACAGCAGGAGACGGGACTTGTTTGCAGGACAATCGTGGCAGTGATTCAGTGCCCCCAACAGTTTTTGGTTCGGGCATTCTCGTCTCCTCCTCTGCTCCATCTTACTACAGCGTTCCTCCAATATCTACGCAGTGAAGCTTTCCACTCCACTTGTCCGTTCCTTGATTCTCACGCTTTTTGATTTGAATGTCCCATCCCGAGCAGCGCATAAGGGACTGTTCGAGGAGCGAGGGGCTGTACCTTAGAGATACTTAGATACGTATTACGTATATATTTTAATGTGCGCTTTATTAACAGCTTTAGATAGGAGCGCGTCCGCTGGACTGCTCGGACGTACGTCTACCTTTCAGCATCGAATGGAGGCTGAGTGCTTTGGGTTGGCGAGCAGGTGGCCAAGTGGGGCTGCGCTTTTGTTACCTCGGGCGAGGGACGCCAAGTCCTCGACAGGGAATTCACATTGTGGAAGTCAAATTTATTTCGATTGAGTTTTGTCTGCAGTTGACAGGTCTCTTTGTCCATGTTGCGATGTTGCCTGTTTTCCTTTACTCTTGCGACGAGTGTATATCTATCATACCAAATGAATACCACAAGCAAAATTCCTCGAATTTGGCATTAGTTGCTTTGTTTTTGTAATCAGCTTATTAGAACTGTTGGCGAATTAAGTGGACTGTATTTCTTTTTTCTAGAATTGGAGTTTATTTTTTAATTATAAGTTGGCTTACAAAATATTAAGCGGGGAAAGTTACAAGCGGTTGCGATCGAGTCAAAATCTACATATACATACATGTATGTATGTATAATAGCTGCCGAAAAAACGTGCAGAAAAGATAATGCAGAAAAACGCGTGATACTGCAATACCAATGCAAATTTACTGCAATTTCGTCTATGCGTGTGAGCTTCAAGATTTGAGACGAAAAGGAAAACAATGATGTGCATTTAACTAGCTACGATTAGAACAACAATACAATGATGGGCATTTAACTAGGTGCGGTTTGACAATAATACAATTATGATAAATGGCCGATCTATTCTTCAACATGAACTAAATATTTTTTGGTGTAAAAAAAAAGGTTAGGCAATTAAAAAATAAGCAAGCAAATTGAATAATATTTAAGCTTACTTTAGGTCCTTATATTTAGGAAATTTATCAACTGTATGGAATTTCAATCAAAATTCCAACTGCGGAGTCAATTTTGATTAACCGAGCTTTGTCAAAACTAATGAACCCTTAAGGTCATTAAATTGGAGTCCAAGCAAATGTAATCCGTATTCCGCTAGCTATTTCGGAAATGAAGTCAAGGTTTTTCTAAGCAGATTCTGTTCTTATAGAACAAAATGTGGGATATGGGTATATTAAGGTATTAAGCAGCCTATTTAATTTCATATGGGGACACACTGTTCGGAGTTCCACAACCTCGTAGCTTTTTTCCATCAGCCAAAACGGCATATAGAACTGTCTCGTTTCATCAAAGTATGTCTATACCCATCACCCTCTTCCTAATTGAAATTGCGCCTTACTAATTTAAGTTGAAGTCAGTCGATTGCGAATATTGAAGAGAGCAAGTGTCATCCATAGAGTGCGGAAGTCGTGAAGTTTAATACCAACACCTTTGTTTCTTTAATTTACTTTTATATACATATCCGAAATAAACATTATCAATTTGTACTACCCTACAAAAAAGTTACTTCAACTTTTATCAAGACCAGGGAAATGGGCACTATCATTTTAAAATTCCTTTTAATTATTCGTTTCCTCTATTTCCCTATCCCTAGAGAACATAGCCTTGGCCGAATAGTATCTAACAGGTAGACGAAAGACGTTCCTTTTGAGTAAAAACGATACAGCATGTCCGTCCGCTGATTACATTCTGAGCGATTTTTGGGAGAAATCAATGAGTTTTTGATACTGATATTTTTGAAACTTTTTCTAGATCTTCTCCGCACTGTTAGGACTTAAAGGCGTTAATCCAGCAACACATGGTACAAGTCCCGAAAGCTTCTCCGCCTGTCAGAGCCGTCACAAAAATTACATTTTGCCAGCTAATTACAATTTCAAATTAAATCACAAGTAATTAGCTGAAAGTCAAAGACAAACATGGCAAACACACAAAGGGGCGGGCTTGGGAATTTGACAGCATTTTATGATTTACAAACGCAACGTATATTTTTTGCCTAATGGTCTTTTGTTTCTGCTTGACAGGTGGGTAGTGGGTGGTTGGTAGAGTTTGGTGGGTGGTCGGTGGTGCGGGTCATGGGTCATGCGCACCCATATACGCCATCGCAGGAATATTTGCCTGCCAAATGAAAGACATTAAAAGCGACAACAAGCAGCCAAATGGGCAAAACAGGCGACACATTAAAATACATTTTTAATGTTGATGTGAGCGTGTCCGCCCCTTTTCCGCCTCGGAAACATTTCTTCTTTATGTACCATTTTCCCGCCGTGTTTATTATTTATATATGTGTCTGTCTGTTCCCGACTCCCGCTCTCTGGCGTTTGTCGTTCCCGATCCCTCATCTCGCCACCGCAACCCCCTCACAAAAGTCAACTTTCTACCATCAGCCTGGCACGACGTCCGTTAGAAATGTAATCTAAATAATTACTTTTATTGCGATTTTTCCGTATGGTAATCAACGGGATCGGAATGGTGTGTCAAGTATTTTTCTGCCCCTGATTTATTTTTATGGCGTGTATTAATGACTTTTATCTTATATCAAAATTCGGTCAAAAACCATTAAAATTAATTTGCATTTTGTAATTACCGAAAAGGCCTTATTCGGGAGACAATGTAATCTATTTTGTGTTAAAACGTTTCTTTCAAAAATTCATCAAATTAACACGAGATATAATAATATTGGATTCTTAATCTTAACTATAGATTAGTCATCGTCAACTATTTTGACATTTTTAGGTTTTATGTAAATTTAAAGCTCTCTGGACAAATCATCATAATTTAACCAATATAGATAGACGATAAAAATAAAACTAATAGATTATTTACATTAGACTAGTCTCCAGAATATGACGCTATTATAATTTATATTCGGTTCGTAAGGTGGAAAACAAACTTATAAAAACGAAGTTCATGTTCGTATAAAGTCAAGGCATCGAAAAAGTTGTTAAAAAATAACGTTAACAACTTAAAAAACGTAATCCTTTTATTCTGAAAACAAACTTGAACTGCGGAGGCATCTCCGGAATCTGTATGCTTAATCCCATCAATCTTTCTGCTAAGCTTCTCAAGATCTCAGCGTTCATGGGGATAGGAGGAGGGACTTACTTGGCTTACTTGACTAGGCTATCAGGTCGTTTAATCCTGGTCAAGAATACATTTACTTTATTCCTATTCTATTAGAATAGGAACCATCGATTTACATTTCTAACTTACTAAGTAAAGAAGGCATCTGAAAGAAGTGTAAATCGAAGAATGTAATTCGACCTGAGGCTGTAACAAATTTGGAAGTTTAGTATTTGTGTGTAATTTTGAATGCACCTTTTTTCATTTATTTCCATGAACCACCCTTTCGGGCCGAACGGCCCCTACTTTAGTCGATCCTGTCAGCGGGATCGTTTCCCTAGTTTGACTGACGAGATTGGCATCAAGGCGGATAGGCTGGTGTCTGCTCTGGGCAGCGCGGCAATCGCAGATATGAACTCTCGCTTAAAGAGAGGTCACCGAAGCACATACGAGGCGGAAAGGCGAGCGGCCCAAGCGGCTTTGGACGCAAATGTGCCACCGGCCAGGATATATCTTCGCTCCACGCCGCAAGGATTTCGTCGGGCAGTTGACATTTTTATGCCACGTTTTAGTCGCGACGAGAACATGTCTTTCTCAGAAGAGGAGGAGCGGTCAGAGGACCACGCCAAAACCCAATCGATTGCACAGAAACAGAGGATCAGACGGGGTTTGGCTGCTCCCCGGCAAACGGATGAGCCCCCCTACACGGGTAACTGCCACCACTGCCGGGAACTAGGCAGTGATGACATGAAATCCGACGAACGCGGTCGAGGAATGGCGCGCCGCGTTTTCCATAATATGGATCTGTTGTAAGTAGGTTTCTGCACTCAGCTGCCATCTTATTCGAACTAATTTACTAAGTTACTATAAGTAACGTCCACTTGATGCAGCACCTCATGCAGCTAGGGATAGACCACGATTGAATCAACCAGATCGAGTTTGGGGTCACCGCGGAGTTGGCTTTTCTTCTGTCTCACACATTTCAACGGAGGGTTAAACAGCAGCCTTAACAACGGGATGCTCTGCGAGGGAGCCTAGCTGGTTAAATATAAAGAATAAAATGGCTTGTACTTTTAAAAATTGTGTTGTTCACTCCTTCCTTCCATCGACAGTTTAATTCAACTAACACTGGCTTCATACCAAAATCTTTATTTTATCAATTTTTAAGTAAATCCATTAATCGAATTTGTGAAGCTCTAATAGGCAAAAAGTTTACTTTTTTGTTTTTAAACTTTGCAAAGCTTTGGTCTTGGAACAAAAGGTATTAACGTATTAGCTGAAAAGTATGCAACACGTAAAAGACGGGTTTTCTTGATCGGGATCAAGAGCCGTTTCGATTTAACCGTGGCCATCCGCGTGTTCATATGGACGCTGAGATCACGGACGAGAATACTGGGATTGAGCTATTCTATTCTTATTATTGTTTAATTATCCTGTCATGTCCGCTATAACATCCACAGGGCACGAAACAGATCTGACTTGACCTTCAGCAAAGTTTTTACTTGTTATTTCCAATCGATTTACCCAAAAAATTCTATTATTTTTTTTAGTAATTAAGTAGAAATGTAGGCTATATGAAGAGCGGTGTCAAGTTCAGGTATTAAATTGCTGTTACCCATTACAGTATTGGGTATCTAATTAACTAACAAGACAACTTGTCGAGTTAGAAGGAAATAAGACTTACAAAATAACTATAATTGCTTGGTCTCATTCGTTATATTAAAAAGATATACCAAAAAGGGATTTCAAAGTTAAAAAATGTTTTCAGATCTGATTTTATGCAGTCGAACACTTCTCTCAGCAGCATTCCACAATATTTTCCCTTTTCATCACCCTTCTCATCAAGCTTATTTTACCGCCCTATCGTCCATTTAGCCATCCACCCCATCCACATCCACATCTCCACCCACATCCGCATCCGGATCCGCATTCGCATCCTGCATCCCCTCCGTGTTCTTGCTCACTTTGGCATATGCCTTGCATAACTTAAGGCGCAACAGGAAATGAGTGGAACACGCCCCAGCGACTGAAACAGAACGAAATGTGAGGAAAACAACGACGCAGCAGCAGCAATAACAACAACAGCCGTGGCACAATTCTCCCATGCGCCTCCCCCTTCCCAGCCAGTCAGAGCCAGACAGCACAAAATGCTCTTGTAATACCAATTTGGGCCGTGCAGAACAGTTTGCTTTAATATCCATTTTGGAGCCTTGATTTTTGTTAATCAGTGTAGAGATATGGCCCAAACATAACGCAGATATGGAAATATATAGAGTCCTCCGGGAGTCAAAATGAAAGGGATTTTCGAGCGGCCAATATGATGTCGGGATACACAAATACCAGACTTTAAATTCGGCCTTTAGTCAGCTGCCTGGGCACCCAAGGCTGTTTTATTAACTACGAAAAAAGGAAAAGCCAAAGCCGCAGAACAAGTTTTTATTTTGCCCACATAACTTTGTTTTTATTTTGTTTCGCTTTTCATCTTGCGATAATGCCCTCTCTTGTCTTTCCCTGGGCCACGTTTCCTTTGAACTTTATCTTAGTTGTTTGTTTGCCATTTGTTTTTGTTGCTATATCTGAATAAATTCGTGTGTTTATGAATATTGTATATATCCCAGCGGAAACGAATATTTTCAACTTTTGTCGCTCAACTTTGTGCCAAACATTCCTGCACTGTACTTTGTTTTTCTCCCTCCGTTGAATGAATTGCTCGCAAACTTGCTTACTCTTAATCAAATTGTCCTTAATGTCCCTAATATGTGGGAGCGTTTTGTAAGTAAGTCGCAGGATCAAGAGCGAGGACACCCCATTTTGCCAAACATCCGATGAGAGCTTAACTCAAGTTCTATGTTGTTCCTGATACTTCTGTCTGTGTGGATAGCTTGTAGCACCTTTGTAATTCTTATTTGATCGCTAGGTTTAGATAGTTCATGTTTTAAAGCAGAGTGATTATTTCTACAGCTCTTGGTCTCGTTCTTAAATACTTTTGGCAAAATGTTTGCATTTTTCAAATATTTCCTACAACTTCAACCAACAACGACCGCTCGGTGTACATTATAATGCTTTGATCTCGCTCCTTATTGATGTTTCGTGCAGAGACTCCCCACGGTTGAGTTTTCCTCCTTGGGGTTTTTGTGCTTGACCGAGTTTTCCGCACTCCTGAGTTTTGGGAGTATGGTCCACAATACCAATTCAAGTAACCGACTTGTGAGCTCTGCAATTATTAAAAATGCACTCCCATTCATTTAAATTAGCACACGCCGAGAGACGTGAACGCAGCATCATTAAAAGCAGAGTGGGAACTTTGTGGGCTATGGCTACCCTCGTCCTTTCGGATTGAAACTACAATTAAATTCAAATAAAACCCAATATCCTGCGGTGCTTTTTATGTGTGCGCTTGTAATATAAATCCTTTGGCTAATGGGGGCTACGCACACACTCGAGCACTGGCAGCATCGGAAAAGCTCCAACTGTTCGCAGCAGGCGGTCCGTGCCCGAAAAACGGGAAAAAGAGCAATGGACTAAACATGAACACTGCACGGCCGAGGGGTAGCTTGGGCAATGAAGGTTCTGCCGTTCGGGCCCCAACCTGAGTTAGGCGGCGCACTCGTGTGGGGATACTAATGAACAAACTCACAGTTTGCGTCTGTGCTATCCTATGAACTTGCTGCGGTACTTTACGGTTTATTTCAAAAATTCAACAATTTCTTTAAATTTCATTTTTGAATGGGGGATACTTTTGTTCCTCTGTATTTTACAGATTGCATTGGTATTTCGACTCCATTCAGCAAACAAGTCCACCCAGCCATTTCTTCTTCTTCTTTTCTCCTTCTTCTTCTTTTTAGATAGAGCAAATTTAACTACTTTATCAACCTTGCCAACTCAGGTATTTCAACTAAGTATGGAATCAACCTCTAATAATGTGTACCTTTAGAAACAAGCTTAAGGCAGGTCCCCCCACCTTGTGGAAACAAATCAATTTTCTTGCCTTATCGTGTAGATATATGTTTCAAAAATGCTCAGCAAATGTCAGATCAAAATCTGAAAAATTACGAAAGTTACAGGCCGTTACATATAGCACTGTCAACGCGTTTTTCCAGAACCACGTTTTTGGAACTTACGAAAGTAATTGAATTGTTGTACATCAGACCACGGGTTCCGGTTCAAGCCCTTCCGGTAGCGGGATATGAATTTCTTCATAAATAGCGACATATTGTTTCGATTTAAAAAATCTTTTGCAAATCGAAAACATATACGATGGGCGTTTGTGGGCGTTGCAGTAGGCGTGGCTGAATGAAAACTCGCGTAGAGCTGCCGTGGCCTCTCTAAAATTCGTACTTTTAAGCCTAATTTTCTAACTCTTATAGTTCCCGAGATTTTCGGATTTTTGGTTTTCCGGGTTTTGTGGGCTTTAGAGTGGGCGTGGCTAGATGGGAAAAAACAATTTGTTTTGGGGGCATCATAAAAAACCACATGCTTAATACAAACTTTCTATCATTCATAGTTAAGTTTCTACAAAAAGTGAAAGCCTTCTTTCGATCTTGGTGGGCGTAAGTGTGGGTGTGGCTGCGCTGCTTAGGGGCCTCAAGAATCAGCTTGCGTTATCTCAGCCCTGTATCCCTTATAGTTCCTGAGATCTCAGCGTTCATACGGACAGACGGACAGATGGACCGACGGAAAGACGGATATGGCTTAATCGACTTCGCTATTGATCCTAATCAGGAATATATATACTGTATAGGGTCGGAAACGGTTCCTTCCATCTGTGTCATACTTTTCAATGAATCTAGTATACCCTATTACTCTACGAGTAACGGGTATTAAAATTGTAATCACTGAATAAATATATGTTCGTATTCAGAAAAAAATTTCAGTGTTTTATCTTAAGCCGTTAAAAAAAATTCAAGAAAAAAACCCCCATTCCATTTGCATTCAAAACAATCATTTCTAGAAAAAGTGTATGCTGTTTTAAATTTTACTTGCACCACTTATTGTCAGGGCAATCGCCCAATTGTGTTTTTTTGTAATCGGAATAATTTTACTGATACATATTATAGAAGGTGAAACGTAAATCTAAATATGTTTTCTTGACGCCCCAGTTTTTGGCGGTTAGTGGGCGAATCAACATCTCTCTGACATCTCTAGAATATGCAAGCTCTATTCTATCTCTTATAGTTCCCGAGGTCTCAGCGTACATAATTGGAATCGGACCCTGATAGCAACCAAGAATGTTTCTGGAATCTTTGTATAAAGAGGGGCTTAATTTTGAACGGTAAAGTCGAGTTACTCAGAACATTAATTGTAAAATGAATATGTTGATTGCAGAGGTCTGCGTACAATGTAATGTAATTATTAATGTATGTATGTAAAGTTCTACAAACGCTAACCGCTATGACCTAATGACTTTTAATATTGGAACACTTTTACTTCACAACTTAAAGGGTATTCGAATGGCAGAATGCAAGCCGCGCCGCTTCCATCAGTGACGCCTTCTTAATCAAGAACACTACCTCGACCCCGCAAGAATCTCAAGACAAGTCGCCTGCGCACTCGCAGTCATCTCCATCAACTGGAAACTGAAATCGAGGATGAAAAACGCGGCAATGGCAGAGGCACTTAAATGAAATGAAAAAGAAAACGTGCGAATGTCTACTTAAGGGCAGACAGCGCAGAGCAGACGACAGACAAAAGCGAATCTACGAGCGACGTCTAAATGGCTTGCCACAAAGAAGATGAAATCCAAATCAGCCATAATGCCCACAACAAGAAATGTTTTCATGAACCAACTTCGAATTAGCAACTAGATAGCAATAGGAAACAGTTTTCCGAAACTAACGAAAACTTTCGGTTGTCGATCTATCTACTGAATTGTCTGATTTAAAAAATCTTTGGTAGGTGTGTGGGTATTGACAAAATAAAGCAAACTTGCGTTGCGCGGGCATCCCCTGTTACTCTAGAAGTCATCAGAAGGTCATCCTAACCCCAACTACAGAATTTAAGGATTTTTTCTAAAAAAATGTGATAATAAGCGTAAGGCGAAAACATTGCGGTTATCGATTTTCTAACGGTCCTGT